CTCTGTCCCTGGGGGAGCACAGCTTTTCTCAGCTTTCAGGATCCTGGCCTGCCAATGAAAGGGTCTCTTCTCCTCCGGCTGGGGTGCCTGCCCCAGTTCAGTCAATAATACCCTTCCAGTGCGGACTATGAGATGGTCGGCATGAGTGCTCCAAAGGAGTTGGATCAGGAATGGAAAGGCGAAAGAATGTTAGCTAATAAAAACCAAGCCAAAAAAGAAAACAAACCGAAAAACTGAAACAAACCAAAAACCATTCTAAAAATTCATTTGGTCCCAAAGTTCGCTCTTCGGTGAGCATTAGGTAGAACACAAGTGTAAATGTTTTTGTGCCCATCTTTCTGGCACAGTGGTCGGACTGAGATCAGGAGCTACGTTGTTGCTCCAACACGGATTCACTCGTTCCTTCCTTCTGCAGAGTGTTTTGGGCATTTTTTGTGTTTTCTTTCTTGAGTGTATATAGGGTGTCCCTCCAAAATGTAGACACGCACTTTGAATAATTATAAAGGCAGTGTTTATTAAAATACATTTCATTTTCAAAATCGAGCCATCAGCCGTTAAAGTGCGTATACATTTTTGGGGGACGCCCTGTATATATTTGGGAACAAGCGGCATCCCCATAGAGGGTGCAAAAGATACTGATACTACTCTCCCGGAACCCAGAGCCACTACCAGAGATGAACCAAAAGTTAAAAAAAAGACAATTCCCCCGTTCCCCTGAGAACTGGCAACAGTCTGTAGGACCCCGGCTGCAAATGGCAGACTCACATTTCTGTCACCACATCTAGGCACAAATAGCACGTAACCCAAATTTCTGTCTGACCATATTTTGTGGGCCCCGACCTAAGAGATGCTAAGCCAAGCTCTCAGGACACAAAATGAGACAAACAAGAAGGCAATAGCTGTCCCAGTGAGAGAAAGGAGGGACAGACAACAGGTACCTGAAAGCACATCCACAAGTCACACAGTTCAAATAATCTTACAAATCTCTTTTGGCTGCTGATCTTACTTTGGAAAAGAAGGGACGGAGCGAAATGTTACCTTCCTCTCTCGACGCATCACAGAGACAGCGATGGGGAGCTGACTGGGAAGATTTCTTACCCTTTGCCGTCTTCTGCCAGGTTCCCAGGATCAGTCTGCGGGCTCTGGAGTGAGTGGGGTGTGCCAGCAGGGCTCATCCGAGTCCCCAGAAACTGCCGAAGAGAAAAAATAACTTTCCCTCTAGCCTCGGAGGGGAGCACTCGGCTGAGACACGGTTTTCTCCAGGTGCCTCCTACACAGACAAGCTCGTTTAGGTTAAACGTTCCCCGGTGTGGCCACCGCAATCCACGGTTGTCCCTGGTAAGCTTAGCCTGCTTGCTGGGCCTAAAAACAAAATGTAACTCACCTGAGGCCTCACACTGCCTGACCCTCCCAGTCCAGCTTAAGTCGGACTCAGTCTGACCCCAGACCAGGTCCAGTTTCTAAGTCAGGCCCAGTCTGACTCCCACCAGTTTTCAAATCCAGTCCAGAAAAAAGAAACGCTCGAATCAAGTGTGAAAGCTCCAAACGCAGACACTGCTGAGCTCGGCCCGAGGGGGCCTACCCGGGACCTCCAGAGCAGGGAGAGCTCGGGGGGCTCAATGGGCTCGGCAGGTGCCTATAAACGAGAGCGCTGGTTGCTCCTGGGGGATGTTGGGGTCTCCTTCGGTTTTTTTATTCTGACACCAGAGCTGTTCAAAGACAAACTGAGCCATATTTAAAAATTCGAGAGTTTATTTGAGCAAAAATCCATTCGAATCAGGCAGCATTCAATCAAACAGATATTAAAAAGCTCCGAGGAGCTGTACGAAATGAAAGACTTTCACAGGCAGCAGGGACAGGGAACAAAGAAGTTCCGCTCGGGGGGAAAGCAGGTTGGTTATTGCGAGGTGACTTTGCTCTAAGGCAACCTACCTAGCTGATCCGGTGATTCCTGAGTGAGTGGTTTGAGATTTCGTTTATCGAAAAGCCAAACTGCAATTAAGTCTGGAAATGTAGCGCTTAGCATACGCAACTCCACCTGGGCCTGTTGTCTGTTTTTAGCAGCCGTTAGCCACAAGCTCCTGAAACGGTGCATGCTTCCCTTGCCTAGGGTGGCGCTCCTGCTCACTGTCAGGGACTAGACTGCTGGCTCCCCAGGGGAAGGGGCCCTCTATGGACCCCCTGCCCCGCGCTGAACCTGCGCGGCATGAAGAGCTTGAACTGTCACTCACATGACGTGCCACTCAATTGTTCCATTTTATGTCCCGTGAAAGAGAGCACATGTTACGTATTTAAGCAGACGCACCCACAAATGCACATAGATTAGCAATATAATCTTTTCGGAAGCCCTCCTGTTCTAACTGGTTCTAAACCCTGAGAACCTAAACAATATGTTTCTATCATTTCAAACAAACAAACAAACAAACAATCTTCCTGTAGTTGGGAGGAGTATAGAAAGAGAAACTTTGGAGAAAAAGGACCTGCTTGCATTTCTTAGGCCTCTCCCTTTTCTGGCTCCTGAATTGGCTCTGCTCTGACGGGCTGCTTGAGACAGTCCCATCGGAGAGCACGTTGCACCCCAGCTGGGCCAGGACACGTGGAGGGGAGGTGCATGGGTGCTCCCTGGCCTTCTTTTTTCTGGTTCAACTTCAGAGGCTGATGCTCCACTTTGGAAACTAGGTTTGGGTGTGGGCTACTCTTCCTGCCTGACGGTGGAGGGGACTCGAAAAGGCTTAAAGCACCTTGGATGGGATCTTCATGATGATGCTAAGGGGGTGGGAGAGATGACGGAGCACCACGGGGGAAATGAGCAGCTGTTACGAATGAATTAATCTTATCAGGTCATCCATTCCTAGCTTAAAATCCTTCGAAGCTTATTGGGGTTCTGGGATTAAGGTCCAAAATCCTTACCGTAGCCCTCAGGGTCATCTCCCACCACCCGACTGCCTTTGGTGGTTTCCCAGACGTAGCTGCTGTCCCGCCTGCGGGGTTTTGTGCAAGTCGTTCCTTCCCCCAGCTTGCGCCCAGCCAGCTCCATGTTCTCCCCTCACCCCTCAAACTGGTCAGTGCCCTGCCCACCACCTTAGAGCCTCCAACACCCTTTACTTGCTTTCTCAAAACCCATCACCCTTCCAACAGCTTGTCCGCCGTGTCTCCACCAGACCAGAAGCTCCTGGAGGGCGGACACCAGGCCTTTCTCATTCATCCCAGGAACCACCCTGCCTGTCCCCTTGGCAGACTGACACCAGACTCCGGGCTCCAGCCGCCTGTTGAGTGACCACATACCTCAAAGCTTTTGAAGATAATTCTCTGAGCCAACTGGGTCGTGCTACCAGCAACACGGGAACCAACGAATGGGCTGTCCCTGCTTCGTCTCTCCCGAACCCGGCTGGGAAATCAGGGTTGAAGGGCAGGCTTGAAAGATGGGGGTGCTGGGTGAGGAATCTCCGCCAGGGAGCCAGGCCAGGACTCTCCCTGTGAGGGGGAACATCTTCGAGGGCAGTGACCCTCTGCTGGAGCTCCTCGGTTCCAAGGTGCTCATTAACTCTGAACTTATGCACTGTGAACAAGCCACCTGTGGAAAAGATTTAGCACCAGCAGTAGTGCTGCTTTGTTGTTGTTGTTTCATTAAAACCCAGACATCCTGACTAACCTCAGCTGGACTCAGTCCCGACAGCGCCCTTTCCAAAACATTAAAATATAACTTGTAGACACACCAGCAAAGACGGCCCTTAACAAAGAAGGGACCTTAGTATTTTAAAGGAAGGACCTATGGGAACCTAGAACACCCAGAAATGATGGTTTGGGGGACATAATTTGACTTGAATTATTAAATAATACACAAGGATTGTATGTGACATTACACCTCTGTATCGGATGGGTTTAGTCTCCTGGGTATGCGTCAGTCAGTCTCCTCACAATCACTTATTCCCTCATTTCGTCACCACCTGAGTGCGTGTGTACTGCAGGCTACCCTACAGGGCAATAACCAAAGCGACAGAACTGTTTCTATTCACAAAGATATTATTATCTATGTGGAGCCACAGACATGGGAAAAACAAGTGGGACAAAGTGCCAGAGGAATGACAATATATTGATGACTTTCAAATTCCAAAGGGCACATTCAGCCCCTGTGAGCAGGCGTACCACAAAGAATCAGGGGAGCCTCACTTGCTCCAGTTCTGTATTTTTGGTGTTTCTGGCTCAGGGATTCTCAGCTCCCCACATAATCCCATATTTCAATGCTGTATAGAACTGTTTTCTCCAGATTAGCAAACATAAACTCCAAAGAATCAAAACTCTAATGACAGCAAACTTTTAGAAAGTTAGTATTCTTAATATCCCCAGAGTTCTTTAGCAAGTTAGGAAACACTGTTTAAAACTGCGGTTTGTGTAATGTCGTTTAATGTCAGTTCTCTGCTCAAAGGCTACAACCTTAGTGCTTGTGTCTCAGTGGCTCTATACATAAAATTTCAACTTGACCTTCTGAACATGAGGCACTTCGTTTAGTTTATCTATAATTAAATCCCAGCTACACTCATGGTAATGACATTTTAACAATAAATTAATGAAGTATTCACTTAGTTGCATAATTCTATCATTTGACAATGACTAGGGCAGGGAAATGCACATGGTTTAGAGGGAGTCATGGAATGATGTAGGTTTAATGGAAAGAAATGCTGTCTCTCCCTTCACCCCCCCCCCTTTGGCTCAGCATGAGCCTGGGAAGATGCAAGCCTACCTTTTGCTGTTAGCAGCAACCCTGCCACTAAACAGCCCAACATCAAAAATAACCTGAAGAGAGCTGAATTCTAACGTCATCTTGAACACCTGTAACAACCCACACCTGAAGCCATTCTTCACCTGGCCTTGCGGGTAACTGAGCCTAAAATTCTTTTTTCGCTCAAGTCCATAAGTTAGGTTGGTTGTGACTTGTAAAAAAAAAAAAAAAGAGACCAAATTGATTCAGCCTCACCAAAGGAACAAGGTAGGAAGGAAGCTGCAGACAAGACAAACAGAAGCCACTCTGTATTTATTTGATAGTCAATAACTTCCCTTCCCAGAGAGAAAATGCACAGACTGAGGTATCCCATTTTAATAAACCCCTTGCTTCTGGCCTTACATCCTGAATTTCTATGCCCATTAATCAAGGTTTGATACCATCACACACAGTGCTTAAAATTTTTCCCTGAGATCATCAAGGCTGCGTCACAGAATATCTTGCCCTACCAAAATTCAGGAGAAAACATAGGCAACTAGAAGTCTTTCGGTGGTGGAAGAGGCAGACAACTTAGGTAGAATTCCTGAGAAAAAAAGTGCAGAGTCGCCCAAGCCACTCATTTATGTTTCCCTGGCCATGGAATAGTATCCCTTTGACATCTCCAAATGTTCCAGAAGGGAAATTCATCACATTGCACATAAGGACACTATCACAGGGTGGTGTGCCAAGCACCTGGGCTTTTGCTAACTATCAGGGCCATCCTGATGCCTCAGTTTCCAGTAAAATGCAGAGCTAGTGAGGTGTTGGCAGCCCCTCCCCAATGGCATTTGGGACACAGAAACATCCAGAGATGGATGAACAAGAAAAAATGGTAATCACAGCATGTGTTTGGCCAGGCCTACATTGTTTTTCAACATGGTTTGAAATCAAAACAGCTTGTGACCCTCCAGCTGTGGGAATGGGCACAGGCTTATTGGATTATCCCCTCAAATCCCAGCTAAATCAAGTCACCAAAGCTTAAGGCAAACGGACATCAACAGTCTTCCAGTCTTGATATGCTGAGAATCTACTCAGCAGGGAATGTAGCTTCCACAGCCCCTCCGGAGTTGCAAGAGATCACATTCTGGGCAGGAGCCAGCTTGCCTGGACGGGGCATTCTTACATTTTCATTGTAGCTCCTCCACCCACCCATCCCCTCCAAAGGGCACAATGGATTGATTGTGTTCCCTACTGAGGACTTCCCCTTTGGAAAACAAACAAGCAGAAGTTTCCCTAATCTGACCCATATTCAACAGTGGAAGGAGGCAGCGGGTCCCAGGGCAGGGGGAGTGGGAAAGGAAGCGGGGCGTCAGGCACAGAGGCTCAGGGCCGACGTGCTGGGGAGCGAGCCGGCCCCTGGAGACAGAAAAGCGAGAGGAAGTGCCGAGCGTCCGTGGGTGGTGGCTCTTCTGCAGGCAGCGGCCCATGAGCGCAGGGTTCCCAGGTCCCCTCCTTAGGTTTTCTTGAGGTAGGTCCCACAGGCTTTCGCCAGGTCTTTCAAGAAGGTAGGAACTCCATTCTGCAAAGCAAAGGAGACTGTCACTCCCATGTCCTCACTGCAAGGTGAACAAAGATGACTTTGGGAAGATGAGAACACAGTAGGGCCTCGGAACGACTTCCACGGAATGGTGCCATGGGGAATGGCGAAAGGGAAGCTCCAGGGCGCACGTGACACTGGGCGACAGAGGACACTGTTGCAACACACTCACTTATAGTTTGGCTTTTGCTAGTGAAAAGCTAAGACATTTCTGAGGCTTTGTTTCTTGAAAAGAAGAAGAAAACACAGGAGATGGGATGGGGCTGGGTTGTTCAATTCTGCTGAAGTAATGAAAGGACCTGCTTTACCGAATTAGAGAACGGTAAGGATCTGGGGGTGTGAGGTCGGAGAGGTCAGTGCAGTTAGTGTTGATCCTTTTGCAAGACTTTCCCCAAACGTTATCATATCTACTCCGACTCTGTGAGGTAGGTAATATCCATCTCCACTTTTAAAATGGAAAAACTCTGCCCAGCCGGTGTGGCTCAGCAGTTGAGCATCGACCTAGGATCCAGGAGATCGCAGTTCGATCCCCAGCCAGGGCACAGGCCCCAGTTGCAGGTTCGATCCCCAGTCGGGGGCGTGCAGGAGGCAGCCTATCAATGACTCTCTCATCATTGATGTTTCTCTCTCTCCCTCTCCCTTCCTCTTTGAAATCAATACAGATATATTTAAAGAAGTAAATAAACAAAATAAAAGGGGAAAACTCGGTGACCTCCATAGTTTACACAATCAGAACAGGGCTGGATTCAAATTCACATGGGTTTGACCCAAAGCCTATGAACTTTTTCACTCTCCCAGGGGATCTGCTCCCAGGGGAGCCCTCCAGCCAGTAAGTAGGACTCGTACAAAGCAGGCTGAATGGTCCCCATGAGGCCAGGCTCCTAGGCAGTTCCCAGAGATCTGGGCTGCCACTGTGGCTCCCTCTCCTTACAGAACAAAACAAAACTGGACGCTTTCCCCCGGCACGGAGACGTCTGGCTGTCTCCCGAGCCAGGTCAGCTCCTCCATAAGCAGATACAGGGTCCCACTGTCCCTACAAGGAGCAGGCTATTGTCCCGAGGTTCCAGAGAGTGATCCTGGCGGGGTCTCAGGCCACTAGCAGGGAGGGGCTGGCATTCCGGCTCAGGATTCTTTGTCTTTTGTCCCAGCTTCATCCTTGGTGTTGGCAACCCCAGTCCTAGCCGTGGTCACTCAACCAAGCTGCTTCATAAAAGAGCCTCATTAGGCTTGAGACAGCGTGTCGCTTCGGCCTGACAGCCCCATGGGCTAAGTCAACATTTGTCAAACACACTCCCCACCCCCGTCTCCTGGGATCTCACCTTGGCGGCCCAGTTAATGAGCCAGGACGGAATTTGGCCACCCGGGTTATCGAAGTAATACATGAAGACTAGAGGGGGGAAGGAAAGCACAAGTCAGGAGGAGAAAACACGTTAGGAAGGTACAGCCGCAATCCCTGCGAACCGCCCACCTTCAGATTCTGACCCAGACAGAGAGGAGGCAGGTGACACATAATTCAGGCGGATTCTCTTCTCTGCCTTGTCTTTCGGGGCATTTACATATAAACATTTTTCAAAACCTAGTCAGGGTACATTTTGCTGCTGTTTCTTAAACACCTGCAAGTGCTAGACACTTGGATGGAGTCTCTCACTCTCTCATTCATTCATCAACCTAACAATCGTAAGGAGTTGGTGAAACTAAACCCCAGTGTATAAAAGATAAAGAGGAGACTCAGAAGTGTTCGTTGACATGTCAAGGTGACCGATCTAATGGGCATCACAACTATGGTTCAGATTTCCCCTCAGGTTCAAGGCCCCCCTTATCCCAGCAGGGCAGGTGGCCACAGGCCTCACTGTCTGCCCCCAGCCCTTCTTGCGGTTTGAACGGAAGGTAGGCAGGCCCCAGGTCTCTGGGTTTTTGCCGAGGGGGAGCTGTGTCCCCCGAAACATTCCTACCGGCTCTTCGCCCTCCCCACAGGACCAGCCTGAAGCCGCTCGGAGCCCTCTGGCTGACTTGGATGCTCTAGTTCATCTGGACAGCTGTCAGTAAAGGATGGAGTGAGTCAGATTTAACATCCACCCTGCACTCTGGCCAAGTTGCTGGGACGAAACGCGTTTGTTTGGTGCCCCTGCCCATCCTCTGACCTCGGGGAACGCGCCTCATGCATTCACGCGCCTCACGGTCGGCGTGGCCTTCACACGGGCAGCCCGGCCGGTGCCTGGCACGCACCCCGGCTTTACCTTTGCTTCCCTTCTTGCCATCGCTCTCGATCGCCAGGCTCTGCCTGTAGCCCTTCACCCGGACCACGCCCGGCCTCTCAGCAAAATGTGGCACGGAGCTGCTCTGGGCCAGGACCACGTGGACCTTCCGTCCTTCCACGTCCAGCTCTTGCCGCTGCCGGGTGTAGACGTACTGCAGGGCTGGTCAAGGCATGACGTCAACACCAGCATTTCGGGCGGGCAGAAGGAGCGCCCCACAAGCCAGGAGCCAAGGGAGGGGTTCTGTTCCCCCCGTTTGCCCCCTGTACTCTCACTTCACCCACCTGCCCTGCCTCCTTACCTGCACTGCCAGACTGTGCCTCACATCGCCTGGTGTATCGTTTGAGAGCATGCACTGCCCACCTGTGAATAACCCCTTGATGTCCTTAATTACGCAAGGAAACCACTCCTCCTTTCTCTAAGGTGGCACAGGGAGATATCAGAGTATTGATCACCTGTCAGCTGTGTGATCCTGGCTTATTTACTCAACCTCTCTGAGTCTCACTTTCCCTACGTGGGAAAACGGAATATCACACTCAGCAGGCACGCCGGTGGGGACACCACAGGAAGACTGGAGCAGAACAAGCACACGATAAACATCCCAGGTCCTTCCATTCTGTCTGACTTCCCCCAAAGCTCTAATTACTGACCTCTATGCACAGAGAACAGTCAAGCAATGTTACTTATAACTGGCGGTCGAGGGAAGACACTGAGTACCTGGATACCTAACTCTGAGTTAACACTTGTTCTCCGAGAATAACAGTTATTCCATCTCATTAAACACAGAACCACCACTATGTCTAGAGCACTATTCTAGGGAAGATAACTACATCCTAAGAAATGATAAGTCACTGCTTATTGAGCCAAGAAATAAACCCTCATGGGGCTTAAAATCTAGCTGGGGGCCAGGGTAGATACATAGACTTAGACACAAAAACGCATACAGACAATACACACAAAACACACCCACACCCTCCCTCTCTTTTTAGAGAATAATTATTTAGGAACAAACAGACTTATAGAATGTTGGAGCTAGAAAACATCCCAGTAATCACCTGATTCAGTGGTTTCCAAAACTTAATTTTTAACCCACAAGCCCCTTTGGTAAATGGATCTTATAGGGAAATTCAGAGTCTAAAGCACTCAGCTGCTATGACTGAAGAGAAAGCTTGCTTATCAATCATCCAACCCCCCCCCCCAGCAAATGTTCCTCCCACCCTCCCAGGCTAGTCCTAAGTAGGCTTCTCAGAACCTGGGAGTGGCAGCTAAAACTCCCCATGTTCCATTCGGCTGCATCATAAGATAAATAAGGAAATTGAGGGAAGAAATAGAAATGCAGGGTCCAGAGCCAATACTGACGGAGGGACCACTGTGGGGCCATAAAACATGAGGAGGTATGAAAACACCTGGAATTGTGGGGGCCTAGGTTCCAGTCCCAGTCTGCCACTAATCACCTGTATGGATGCCTCTGTTACTTTACCTCTCTATAGACTGAGGGAGTGTGTTAAACACTCTTTATAAATAAATTCTTTCTGCCGCCCAGGCATGGCTCAGTAGCTGAACATCAACGTAGGATCCAGGAGATCACAGCTCGATTCCCCGTCAGGACACATGCCTGGGTTGCGGGCTCGATCCCCAGTTAGGGGCGTGCAGGAGGCAATTGATCAATGACGACTCTCTCATCACTGATGTTTCTATCTCTCTCTCTCTCTCCCTTCCTCTCTCTGAAATCAATAAAGATATATTAAAAATATATATATTTCCAAGTCCCCGATTCTACAGCCCAACAATTTCAAGCCCTAGAAAGCTTCTCAGGAAAGTAGGAGCTGCCTCCAGTGACCACAATTACAGACGCTCCGCGTGGTCAGGCCCAGAAATCACATTTTGAGGTCTCCAAAGGCCACAAGAGGGGCAGTAACAGCTTTAGCAGATGCTTCTCAAGAAGCAGAGACAATGTTGTCCACACCTGCTGGACGTACCACCACTGGGCGATGGCCATGGGGCACAGCAGTGCTTAGAAAGCAGAGCAGAGGTGCAGCTTGGGAAAGGATACATCCCTGTTGGACATGGGGAAAGGGTACTTCACTTCCCAGTAGACCACCGTCTCGCCGTTGCATTCTTTTTCATAGAGCTCTACGGAGAAAACAGAAGTTAATGCATCTGGAAGCCTCTTTGCCTCTGATGAACAAGAAGCCTAGGTAGGATGACCTGGTAGGGTATGATAAACCATGAACACACAAGGCACAGGATTCTAGAAAAGTCAGGCCGATTCATTACCACAGAAAGCTCGTTGCCTGGGGCACAGTCTATCAGATATAAAAGCACAGTCAGAATCACAGAACCCAACAAAACTTGTCTACCTCGGAGCACAAACAAGATCCTCAGACAGGATGCAATGAAACCCAATCAGGCGTGAGAAAATAAATCTTCAGGTTTTAAAATCAGGGTCACCACCAGATGTCACTAGAGTACCAACAGTTTTGCTTTCAAGACCTTTCTGGATGGCTCGGGACTGAGTCACCCAGTCTAGGGCGTTTAGCTGGGAAATGCAGGTTCCCGAGAAGGCAGCGTCCTTCCTACAGAGAAAGTGGCGTGACTGTGGCTATCCCAGAGGGTCTTGCTTCCCTCCCGTGTTTCTTTACACTACACCACAGCTGCAGTGACCAAATTTCCTTACTATGCCATCACGCTAATGTGTGCGAATAGCAGCCGGCTGTGGGAGGGAGATAGCAAAGGAATTCAATGACCTGCACCCCCTGTGGCCCCAAGCTGTGCAGTGAGCTTCTCCCCAACCATTTAGAGCAGAAGCCAAGCCAAGGCTGAAATAACCAAGAGGGTCCACCGAGACGCGGATGGGAGAACGGTCTTATTTAACTTAGCTTTTGAAAGAAACTGTATTAAAGAGCTTACCAGCCCATGGGTGCCACAGGGGTTGAAGACAGCCCTTGAAAGGAAGGCAAGGAGTGGACACCTGTTGCTTTCCCATGCTCAGCACTGACCCCCCTTCTGGGCCCAGCATCTCAGCTGTCCTTCAGGGCATCACCCTTGCCTTCCTTTTTGACTGTGGTTTAAGCAGAATGGGCTCAGCATTAATTCCAGGGCTGGGAAATGAGCAAGATGTGGCCACGGGGGTTAGTTCAGGGATGGTGCACCCAGCCAGGGTCTCAGCTCGCCACTCAAGCAGGTTTTGGCTGAAAGTGGTTAGTAAAGGCCCTCAGGTAGCTCACAGAATAGCCAGGAGGAGCAGAGTTAGGTTAGACCTCAGGATTGTTCCAGAGAAGCCAGTCTAGTGGAGCAGACACCACAGTATGACTGCTGATGAGAGTAACAAACGTCAGAGGCTCTGCAACTGTCTCCCCAGAGTCAGGATGCCTTTGCTGGGACCATCACCAGAAAATGGATTTTGCTTGCTACCTGTTTTCTCACATTGCTCTCTCCCAACCTCAAGCCACATGGGCATCTTACTGGCCACTTTCATATCATATGACTGCTGGGGAGATGGGGACAGAGAAAACATTTCTCCCTTGGACAGGTGTCACAATTCCCTCTAGATAGGAAGTGTATTTGAAAAGAGTAAGTGACCCACAACCATGACAAATGTCCACAGGAAATAAGCGGGTGATCCATGCTGAGCAGATGAGAGCCATCAGTAGGAAAGTGGAAATCTCGTTCCTGTTCCTCTGGGGTTATTTATAAGCCTGGGTCACCTGGTGACATCTTCACCGTGACATAGGAATCTGCCTGAGGATTCGGGCGATACAGACAAACACAGAGCCAAGAGATGGAGAAGCGATTCAAGTATTAGATGCAGCTCTCCTGGAAGCCAGAGCCCACAGAGTTTCCATTGCCCTGAACCTTTTCTTCACTGGCATTAATTAGCTTTTTGTTACTTGCAACCAGGAGTCCGGGCCACAGTAAGGGTCTTGCACAGTTTGTGCGCCCCTTGGCAAGTCCGTAGTTCTGTTCCCCTGTGACCGACGTGGCAGAGGTCTCTCCCAGCTCTACAGCAGGAGGATCCCCTGTTTAATACCTTTCATAACTGTGCATCATTCATAGTGTAAAATCTAAGATCTGCAGCCTGGCAGCCAGGCTAGGCCGTTGGGGATCTGAGCCATCTTCCCACCCTAGCTCCAGACTCTGCGACCAGATTGCTCACAATTTGTACGTATCATGCTGTTTCACGCTTTCCTGACTTTGCTCATGCTCTTCTCTGGGCCTGGAATGCCCTTACACCGCTCATCCCCTTGCCCTCACCTCCTCACATACAGTGTTCTTGTTTATAAAACTTTCATTCAACTTCTAAAACAAAGCTTGGACACCACCTCCTCCAAGCAGCCTTCCATGACACATAGGTGTACAGATGACGACCAGCTTACAGAGAGAACAAAGTAGCCCTCAGAACAAACTGGAGAGTGGACCTAAGAGTACATATACAAGGCGCAGGCCCAAGAAATAGCAGAGGCACATTTCAGCCCAGCACTTGTGGCTTTCATGCCAAAATAAAAAATGAAGCAGAAGAGAGTAGAAATTAAACCTGTTGCTTTATACTCAGTAGAATAAATAACAATAGATTCTACTTTCTAATTGATTTTTTTTAAAAACACAGGAGGTGTTACTCACCTTTAACATATTGGTCCCACTGTTTTCTGTAGTCTAAGTCCATATAGACATCTGCGAGCAGAGCCGGCGGGCAATCCTCCAGGACGCCAAAGACTTTATACTCATAAAGTCCAGTCTGCTGTAGAAACAGAACAGGCAGAAACGACCTGTTGATTCGCACGTTGAGAGACAGCTGGACTGCACAGTGTGTGAAAAACAGCTGAGGCTGTGCGGTTCATGCCACACCGTTTATTGGGCCTGTGGTCTTGGTGTAAGACAGTGATTTGAACGGGGCAGTAACAGCAGTGATGGAGAGAGGTCAATGATTTGGGGATATATACTGGAAGTAATGCCAACAGCAACTGTGGTGGGGACAGATTGGCCGGGGGGGTGGGAGGAGGAAGCAAAGAATTGAGGATAACTCTTAGAACCTTTGCTTGAACCACCAGCCAAATGGGGAGTTCCCTTTTCTAAGAAAGAAAACACTTGGGGAAGAGGTAGTCTGTGGGCTCTGGGGTAATCAAGAGTTCTGCCTTTGACTTTGAGAGGCTTATTAAACATCCAAGTGGGGGTGTCATATAGGCAGCTAGCGTTCAGGGGACAGGCTACTATTTTAGATATCCACGGGGCATAATGAAACTCAACACGTTGTTTTATCAATTCCAAGACAGGATTTTTCAACACTGCTTCCTTTTTATATAAAGGACTTGCGCACAAAGGAATAAAAATGTGAAGAAATGTCAGTTTCAGGTCATATTAGTTCCTTCTATTCAACATATATATATATATATATATATATTTCTAGATTCCAAACTACATGAACCCTGCCTGCGAGGGTAGCTGGCTGGGGTTGGCCACACTACACATTTTCACTCTGTACAATGGCAGCTTGAAGCTCCTGAACCTCACCTTGTCTAACGGCTCTATGGTTAAGATTAAACCAATGGCCCTTGAATCCCAGGGCAAAAGCAAACCAACAGGAAGAAAGCCTTTCGATCGACTCAATTCCAGGCGCTAACACCATGCTGTTGGGTAACTGCATAAATAAAGCCAACCTCTTCAACACCGTGCCCGAAGCCAAGGGCATAAACACAGTGAATCTTTTTAGGTGTCGTGAGGCTTCACGGGTCCCCTGGCTCAGGTGGCATAACCCAGGGGTAAACACTTCCCAGTTTAGGAACTGCAGGTACATGTGAAAGCACCTGGCAAGAGATGGGCGGTAAAACTGAAACTGGATTCAGAAGGATTTTCCAGCTCCAGAATACTGGCTTCATACCAAGGGCTTCCAGTCATCGAATGGCAAACTAGTAGATCGGAGCCCCTTAAGGATGCCCCAACGGAAGGACAGACCTCGGGAGAAGCCTGTCCCTCCTGGCCGCTCCCCACACTCCCACCTGGAAAGGTGGGGGGTTTCTACATAGCTGGCCTTCACACCCGCACGTTTTTCATCACCTCTGCAAGAGAGACAATGAATTAGCTCCTTGTTCAGGAATCCTGGGGCCCCCTTTTTCCACACGTGCTGAGCTAAAGGGACAGTTATGTCCCGAGACAGTGATCTCCGCAGCCTGACCTGGGCTCCCTTAGGCTATCTGGGTAAATCAAGACAAACTGTTTCCTTCACCTGGTGCCTTTCCCCGTCCTGAATGTAACTAAGCCCCGGTGACCTCAGCCCCATACATCTCACAGAAAAGAAAACAGAGGCCTGCAGGAAGAGGGACGTAGAAGGAGGTGATTTACGTGAATACTGAAGAATGACCTATTGTGGCAGCTTCCTTTCGACACGCCCCTCGCGGTAGAAGCGAGAGAGGCCAGGGCGCAGGAACACAGCTCGGTGACACCTTTCCTAGTCTATGGAGAAACTGTTCTTTTTGAGGGCTGGGCGGCCGCGCCCAATTTCTTGGGTCAGAGCACGTATTTCACCCGTTATTTCTTCCAAAAAAGGATTTCAGCAAACATACTCATGTCTTTATTTGTCTTTAAAAAAAAAACCAGTGAATAATTATAGAAATAATTCACATTCATTATAGGGAAATTGGAAAATGCCAAAGAAGAATAAAAAATAAATAAAAATGGCATGTGACCCCATAAGCCACGAATACCCATTGGTGATAGTCAACACATTTCTTTGAAGTAAATAAATACTTCTCTATGTTACAAAAATGGGAATGATACGGTATAAACAGCTTGTGTTCTTATTTTTAACAATATTATATTGAAGCTATGGAGAGAGCACACCTAATTTAATTGTTCTTTTAAGTTATTTCTATTTCCAAATATTTTAACAAATATAAATACTGCTGGAATAATCTATTATTTGGTCCATAATTCCAACTTTTTCATTAGGAAAGCTTCCTTAGAGATAAATTGTAGGGTAAGGGTATTAACATTTTAAGGTTCTTTATACTTTATATAGATTTTTAAGAAAGTTTATACCAGTTTATACTCTCCATAGTAGCAAAGAATCATCTCACCAGGATTGGGTACCATTGTTTGTACAATTTGATAGAAAAAAGTATAAATCTTAGCTTAATTTGGGCAAAGTTTTACCATTGACTGAGTTCCTTAAAATTAGAGATAGAAACTCTCTGTAACATCTGTTGCAGATATGTTTCTAAGTTTACTAACATTTTAATAAATGACTTCAAATAAGCTTATTCAAAAGGTTCTTGGCTTTAAACCACAATGAATGGCTCCATTTCTTTATCACACTGGAAAACACGCTGTATATTTGTCTAATGCTTCATTTACAGCACATTTAACTTCCTACACTTCAGAGAGTAAAAGAATTATTCAGTGGTAGAGAATCAGTCAATATCTAGCGTAGAATAGTTACCAGAAGAAGTAGGAGATATTCCTTTCTTGCTTCCTAAAGGGACCCCAGGGTGAACATGGTCAATAATATTATAAAAATGATGTATGATGTCAAATGGATACTAGACTTCTCAGGGTGATCACTTTGTAAGTTATATAAATGTCTAATCACTGTGTTGTACACCTGAAACTAATATACGTAATATTGTATGTCAACTATAATTAAAATTTTTTTTAAGTTTAAAAAAACAAAAACTTTAAAAAAAAAGAAATGCATCACTGTTAAGAAAAAAAAAGAACCCCTACGGCAGTGTGCACAGCTAATAACTTCCCTGTCTCCAATGCAGGCACAGGTAGCCATGAAACCTCCATCCCATCTTGAATATGAATATTTGGAGCTGCAGCAGCTATTTTGTGATGAAGAGGTAACAAACATGAGGCAGCAGGGTAAAAAGATTCAGAGTCTTACTGATATCACCGATCAGTTAAACCAATGTCAGCAACTGTTGACCTCTGAATTACTTGTTAGGTGACAAAAATAAACCTCTTCTTAAGTCATAATTATTCCAGTTTTCTGTTACTTGCAGCTAAAAGCAATCCTAATTGATTCAAGTGACCCTTTCCAACAATGAATTTAACTTGAGTCCTGTGACCTGGGAAGACAGTGGAGCTTCAGAAATCCTCCTGCTCTTTGTGGTCCAGAAAAGAGCTTATTGTAAAGAACCACCACTCCCCATATGGATTAGGTAAGACTCACAGATGCCCTCCTGTCATAGGTAAACAAGACACAGACCCTCTGGATTCCCTTTCATTGCCTTATAAATGATTAGCTGAACGGCTTACCCCATTGAGCAATGAGAACAATATAATTATTAATCAAACTTCTCTCCTTCCAGGCCCCTAAACGCTGGCCCACCCTCAGCCTGAGCCAGCATCCAGCCCCTCCTGAAAACAGACTGGCCTCGGGGTAGAATATTCTATGAGCTACTATCCAGTCATGCCACCTTTCATCTCACTCCCCCACGCTGTTTCCAGCCTTCTTTACTCCTCTTTACACATGAAAACCTCCTTTTGCCTAAATTTCGGGGCACTCACAGATCAATAGTCAAAGTGTTCTCCCTACTGCAATACTCCCTCCCCTGACTTTGCTATAATCCTTTTGAATAAAAGACTCTCCTTAACAAAGTACAGATTTTCTTTTTGTTTGACATGAAAGTGTAAAAGCAAACTGACAGAATAGTGCTGATAAGACATGAACATTTACAGGGAAATACAGTCATGGGTAAATGAATTAAAGCAGCATGGAAATATATAAACATTGCTAAAATGCATTGACAAGGAAGATAAGAGACAATGGGCCCTGTTAATGAACATTAAATAGAAGTGTATTTAAGTTTACGTAGAGATAGCTAAAACTTCACACATTCTGGTATAGAAGTGCCACCTCCTTCCACTAAGTAATTCAGAGAAGAAAAAAAAAATTATAATATTGCTGGGACCCACTACATCCTTAGTCCTGAAAAGAAATCAGGCCTGGGCCAGCTTTCCAGCCTGGGACGTGCTTCCTTTGGTGACCTGTAAGTTACTGCACCAGCTCCGGGCTCTGTATTTGAAGTTGTCCAGCCAATTTGACCTGCTATAAATTATTCCAATAATACTAGTAATTGTTTCTCTCAGCACAGTGCAGTTTCCAGTTTTATATTCATTATCTCATGGAATCTTTAACACAGCCCCGTGATGGAGAAACACTGGTGTTGCCTTCCATTTTATATAAAGAAATGAAGCTCAGCGAGGCTAAATTATGTGCCTGAGTCCTACAGCTCCTACTGGGGACAGCCAGAAAGAGGGTGACGCCGGCCCCTCCTACTTCCCGAGATGTTTCCTTAGCTCTGCTCGGTCCAAACCACAGTCCCAGACCACATGCTAATGATTAAGGTAAAGAAGACTCATCGCATAGAATCTTCGAGCCAGAAGGGGCCCTAGGCCCTTATGGAAAAGCTGTCAGTGACTTGTGAAGCAGTCAGTCAACAACACTGTTGGTGGCGAAGCCTGGATGGGAAGCTGTTCCTTCCAGTCCCCAAGCCGGTGTTGCTGCCCCAGGCCACCCAGAGGGACCTCCCACTGAGACGCTCCCCGGAGCCCCTAAGCCTGATGTTTGTCCAACAGGCCTCCAACTACCAGAAGAGGTATTTTTCAGATGCTGCTTCTGGGGGGTTCAGAAAATGACCAGGGAAAGGGAGGGTCGGAGAAAGGATGATTATCACTTTCAACGGACTAGAGCCTTATATTATTCCCAAGAGTCATCTCAAAAACCTTGTAGACAGAAAA